GTACAGGCCCTGCTCATGTTGTACAATAGCCCTTTCTTTCTCCATCACCTGGCTGGCAAGTCTGGACCTGCAACGACCCCCCCCTCGCCTGGCCTGCAGCCACTCGCTTTGAAACTGACTATAAAAGTCTCTTCTGAGAGAGACCACCCCGAGAGAAACAATCTCCCTACCAGCTAAATGACAACCATCGTGGGACCTTGGAAGACCCCGTCAGCTGGTAGCTATACCTGGTCCCTGATCTCTCTCTCTCCTTCTTCTAAGACCCCGTCTCCCTCGCTCCCCTATCTCCTTCTCTCACCCTTTCCCATCGCAAACCCCGTCACTTTCTCTCTCTCTCTCTCTCTCTTTCTTCTAAGACCCCTTCTCCCTCGCTCTCCCTATCTCCCTTTCTCACCCTTTCCCATCGCAAAATACTCAAATAAATTGTCTCTGATTATTTGAAGCATATACCTTTGCCTTCTCATTTTCTTTTGCACCCTGAGATTCCAAAAAAGAACCTACCACGATTCCCGTTTCAACTCGAATGGATCGTGACAGTGTAAGAGTTGAAACTTTGGCATTTAAGAGACACACTTAGTCAAAATGAGGAGAATCAGCAAGGCAGTATTTTACAGATTCTTTAAGTGTAAAAAGAATGTAAAAGTGTTAAAAAAACAATAACCTGAAGAATGCTTTGCTAAGGATGGTTGACCTCATAGCAGAAAGTTCTTTCAATGCATCAAAAGCAGAAAGCCAGCTGGGGAATAAGTGGGACCACAAAAGGAAAAGGTGTGAAAGGGAGACTCAGGGATTAGGGGCCTATTGTAAAGAAACTGGTTTTGCCAGTTTTTTTGTTTAAAAGTTGGGAAGATTATGACACTCAATTTTTTCTTTACTACAAAGAGCTCAACTGGAAGCACAAAATATAAGGCAAGCTGGTAGTTAAAATTTTATGAGGTGCATAGATGACATGCACTTAAATTCAGAAGCTATGGCATTCACTTAAATTCAGAAGGAAGCAAAATCTGAAATCACAGTCCTCAGGCCCAGTTAAGTAACACAGCACTGCGAGCAGCCACTCCTCCAGAAGATGAGTAGAATGCGGAAGCAGTGCCCCCCTACAGGAAGGACTCAAAAGGATGCTTGCAAACCCTCTTTATCAATTCTGGCTGCCATCTCCAGTAAGATGGTAGAATCCATAATGAAGAATAAGACATGGGTAAGTGTGGCCTGTCAGAACAAGTTGGTATGGCTTCTCTAAGCGTTGTGCCTCAGCTCTGAACAGGGAGAAAAAAGCAGACAGATAAAGCAGATTCTATAGAGATACTTGCACTTTCAGAAAACCCCTGACAAGTGGTTTGTGCATCACAGGTTACTGAATGTGCATTATCACAGTGGTGAATGAAAGATCCACTAATGAACAGGAGGTCAAGATCAGAGCTTATGGGGAGAGGTTATAACACTTCAGGACAGAGAGGTATGATTAGTATGATCTTGAAGTGATCAGAGTCAGAAATTTTATTTAATAGCTTTCATCAGTGGCTGAAAAATGGGATGACCAATGCCATCTAGCAGTGTGAGGAAGGTAACTGAGTTCTGGAGAAATGGGGAAGTCAAAAGCTTGATTATACTGAGGAAGTCCAGTCTTTATGTAAGAATAAGCGAGTTGTGAAACAGATGGCAGAAGAGCTTCTGCAAAGACAAATGTGAAGTGATGCTTCATCTAACAAATAATCTAGATCATGCCTCTGTGACGTTTGAACTTGGAACTGGCAGCTACAGCTAAGGAGAGCATCTCCAAGCCATCAATGAAAGATTCCTGAGATCTCTGGCTCCATGTACAGTGTCAGGCAAAATTTCAAAAGAATGTTTCATGATGAGGAGGAGAATTAAGAATGGAGGGGATAGTTCTGCCACTGTGCAAAAACTTAGCATGCCCACATCTTGAGTACTGAGTGTTCTTTTTCTCTCRGTGTCTCAAAAACGTTCCAATGAAGCTGAAGATGCTGGAAGAGAAAGGCAAATTAAATACTCAAGGGGCTGAAGCAATTACACAGGTTATGGGGAGAGACTAAGGTGGCTAGGGTCCTTTGGTTTGAAGAGGATAAGGCAAGATGAAGAGGCACCAGGGAGTGTGGAGGTGTTATTCAACTCCCCCCCCMAAAAAAAAGTGGATAATGGAATTCTGGAGCCTATAACTGCATGTCACAGGATGGCCAATGAACCAGACAGTATAAGTCAGTTCAAAAAAGGGTTAGGAAAACTCATGAGCAATAGTCTATAGAAAGATCCTATGAGCAAGAGGTCAGAGGCTATCTCCTAACACACTAAATAAAGATTTTGTGGATACATTTTGAGTAGGAGAGGAATGACTACAAAATGCATCCAGGCTAACACACACTCAGAATGCCTCTGCCACTGTCAGAACTATAGGTATCAAGTAGCTCATCGAGCACAGGATTTTTTTACATTCTTGGCAGACACAAAAGAGAGAAACCTGATATTAAATTTTGTATTAAGGAGTCAGGAGCCAAACATGCCAGAATTCCTCATCTAGTTCTTAACATTTATATTATCTTCAGTATCAGTTATAAAGTTAGTATCAGTATTAAAAATCTAACCCCAAAACTCAATACAGTAATTGTTAACCAGACCATTATATTAAAAAACACAGTGAAAGCTGTTTGCTTTCAGTTCTTTTAGGAAAGCAAAAACCTTTCTTTATTATCTGGTCTTAATTTTGCTCTCTTCAATGGAGTTAGAAATGAATACTTAGAGATGTTATTATTAATAATAATTCATTATGAAATTATTAACTGTGCCGTCACCAGGAAGCAGCAAGATCATCTACTTGCTGACATTACATTTACGGAGTCTAATCAGTCACTTCTTAGAAGCAGAGATTAGATGCAAGCTTCCCTCATCTGCAAGTAGGAAAACAAGTAGTTCTCAAATTTTCCATTGCATCAGAACTACTCTGAAAGACAATATCTGTCTTAAGATAACATGATAGCACTCTTCATGAAGTAACACTGCATACTCTGACATCGTGGCACAAAGAACTACTTGAAATCTGAAGAACAGGAAAAAAGATTACCTGGAACATATGCAAGTGCAAACAACTCTCTTCCAAATGCGTTGTGTTTGATCTCTCTTGTGAATTCCCCAGTCTCTAATCTGAAGCACTGAATTCGACCGTTTTCTCTGTCTGCAACGCACAGTTGACTTGACTCAGGAATCAAGGTTAAACTGTGAGGGATATGAAACTGTCCAGGCCTGGCTCTGCCTAGAGAAGTCTCTGCAATCAAAAACCCCATGTTTGCGTTAAGGTACACACTGAAACTATCAGTTTTACTCAGAAACAGCAATATGCCACATAATGTAATGTAACACTGGGAAATAACAAAGGTCAACTTGCTTTCTCCTAGCATTTAGATAAATGACTTATGGTAACCTATTGCATTTTCTTTATAAATACCAAATTTAAGAATTTGCAATTCCTGAGAACACTCAGCATAGTTTAACACATGATACAAAAATCTGTGTCAGGCAGAAATGCAATTTTTCATAAAACTTAAATCAGATTAAATCATGGCATAAATCTTTCAAAAATGATTACTTAAACATTGAACAAAAAATTTGGCTTTATGAAAGTCAGAACATTTTCTTGATAAAACAGGATGTGCCAATACTTATATTGAAAGCAAGACAACAACTCCCCACTTTCTGTTTTTAGTAAATATATAACCACTGCAAGTATGTGTATAAAAGAACTGAGAGAAAATTTGGATGCAATGACAAAGCTGAAATTCATGTAGGGCCTGAAAGGTTATTTCAGTAATAGAAATTCATTAAAAAAATTAATAGTAACATCAGTCATTTTGTGGCTCACTGAGTTCATGGTCACAGTAGTACAGGTAAAGTATCAAGAGCTCTGACTGTACCTTCTCCCCACTGCATCACGTACAGTCCTTTTGGAGAGAACTGAATAATCCGACTGTTGCAGTAGCCATCAGAGACATAAATGCTGCCAGTGATTGGGTCCACAGCCACATCAGTTGGTTGACAGAAATGATTTCTGTCACTGCCTGGTTGCAAAGCCACTCCTAAGGTCAATAATGGCTTTTTGTCACTGGCTCCCAGTTTGAAAACCTTTTTTTAGCCAAAAGGAAAAGAAAAGGGGCTTCAGTTTTAGAAAGTGAAACCTAAGACCTAGATGGCCTAGACAAAAACTCTTATGACTGTGTATAAAATAAATTCATGTACCAAACATGACCTTAATATATTGACAAAAATATCTATTATTAGTTTCTCAATAGTGCTGATTCTAGGAAACTTCTGCCTAAAATACAAATTTCCTGGCTTTACAAAGCAATTTACTTTCACTTTTTGGATTCAGTACATCAATAAGCAAAAGATGTAGCAGAAAATTCCAGTGGGATCTTGACAGGCTGGAGAGAGTGGCTTCATCAGAACCGTGCGAAAGTCAGTAAAACCAAGTGCAAGGTCTTGCGCCTGGATTAAGGCAATCCCAAGCACAAGTACAGGCTGGAGGAGAAGGGATTGACAGCAGCCCTGAGGAGACTGTGTTGGTTGGTGAGAAGCTCAACATGAGCTGCCAGTGCGTGCTCACAGCCAGAAGAACAACAATGTCCTGGGCTGAATCCAAAGCATGTGGTCAGCAGGGGAGGGAAGGGATTCAGCCCCTCTGTCCCGCTGTCATGGGACCCCACCTGCAGAGCTGCCTCCAGCTCTGGGGTCCTAGCCAGCACAGGGAGGACAGGGAGTTTTTGAGAGAGCCCAGGGGAGCCACCAAGGTGATCAGAGGGATGGAGCACCTCTCCTGTGAGGAAAAGCTGAGACAATTGGAGTTGCTCAGCCTGGAAAAGAGAGAAGGCATCAGGGTAACCTAATTGCAGCATTCCAGTACCTGATGGGAGCCCACAAGAAAGATGGAGAGGGACTTTTTACAGGAGCATATTAGGAGCATACAGGACAAGGGGAAATGGCTTCAAACTAAAACAAAGTAGGTTCAAATCAGCTATTAGGAGGAAGTTCTTTACTGTGAAGGTAGTGATCCACTGGTCAGGCTGCCCAGAGAAGCTGTGGCTGCCCCATGTCTGCAAGGCCAGGTTGAATGGTGCTCTGAGTACCTGGGATAGTGGGAGATATCTCTGCCCATGGCAGGGCAGTTGGAACAAGATGGTCTTTAAGGTCCCAACTGAGACCTTCCTACGATCCTATTATTTCTACATGCTATGTCYATGTAGCAAATTATTCAATGCAACTATATTCTATTAAGTATATTTCAATTTCTGTTACCCTATTCTTAATGTTATTCTAACAGGCCTAGATAAACAAGTGATGTCAAATCTCTAGGAAAACGAAAGTATTTTTTTAACAAAACATTGAAGTCCTGGTACAAAAGCTTCAGAAACATACCTGATGAAGAGCTACATCTGTGACCCAGAAGTTACCATTTTTATCCACACTCAAACCATGCGGTAAATAAAATCTGTAAGCACAAATGTAGAAGAATTAAGTTAAAAACATTTTTCTGAAAGAATTATATAGATGTGAAGATCTGTTTTTTTTTATCTAGTGATCAAAACCAAATGCTGTACAAACTAACTACAGGTAGCACTTAATGAAAAATATTGCTTTACATGTTAGAATTTTCTTATCAAGAGTATCTCAGTTCTGAAGTTCAGCTGATGCTGAATATCTCACTCAGGCTATTTTGGCATTGGTAAGGACAATGTACAAAATTCATGAGCTCTGCATTTCTGTTAATCTGGCTGGTAGATTCAATTGTATGGAATGTTAGAAAGCAGAGTTGGCAAAGATTAATTTTTGAGTTGCGAATTAATTTTGTTTTTAGTTGATTTCATATTTATTTACTCATTTACTTTAAGATAGTCATAGGCTGCAATTACACAATCATATGTAAATGTACAAATATAATATAAAACACATGAAAATGGATTCAGAGACTCTTTGGCATAAAACATACAGATTAAATAAAAACAAAACAAAAAAAAAACAGCTTACAGATTTTTGCCGSTGGAATGAAGCAGTTTTGCATTACTTGGATTCATGACAATAATTGTGTTCTGATCAATTGGTCCAAGTCCTCTTTGCTGATAAACAAACTTGCTGTCAAAAGAACTACACAGAAAGAATGGAATAGAAAGTCAGCATTAGAAGGTTCTACTGATGAACAATACACTTGCAACTTTGGGCTCTTTAAACTTTATTACATCACTGTATAGTTTTAAGAGTTAATAGTGTTGTACGTCTGCATTTCCTACTGAGGTTATGACTTCCAAACTAAAGGAGCACCAAATCAACATAACAATAATTAAGATAGTCTTATGTCAAGTAAGTTAAAGACCCTTTTCAAAACTTTAATTTAAAAAAAAAAATGCTTTGCCATGGCAGCCAGAAATGAGAAACTCAACTGGCAGGGCATACCTGCCAGTAATAACAGGTATACTTTGTACCACTCAAGGCAGTCTGTGCATATTTGGGTATCTTCTGCTCTTTCTTTTTTCATACAGAGTTCAATATTTTGCTAGAGCTTACCACTATAAAATTCAGATCTTATGGTTCTTATCCTTTTCAGAGCGTGCTTACAGAACACTATATTAAGTGTTCCTCCTACTCCTGCAACATTATACGCAATTTTTAGGGTACACGGAATATATTCATAAAAAATATTTGAACATATCAGTATTTCAGACATTGGGAACGAGGATAAACTTTCCAGAAGATATTTACTACACATGAAATTATCATATGCTTCCAAAAATAAAAATATAGTTGTCTGTGTCCTTATAGAGAGGTTGGCTATTACTCTAACCTGTTGAAATATTTGTTCAGCATTTAGTGAAGATAAACAGAGTGCAAAATATTACGAACAAAATTCAAGGCTAAATGCTAAAGAATGGTGTTTGACTGTGGATGAAAAACTGCATAAATACAAGACACATTTCCACTCCCAACTTATATTTTTCAATTCATTTGTTAAATCCAAGAGAAATCCAGCCATGATTGATGCTTCTTGGTGTCATGGTTTGAACTTAGCCAAAAGCCAAAAGCTTGAGAGGGACCCATGACATCCCTCCCCCCACCACTGGAGAAGGCAGAAGGGAGAGCAAAAAAAGCCCAATTAACACTAAAAGTTATGGCTTTTAGATTACATAACATAATTGAGAGAAACATACATATATGCTCCAGAGAATGGTCAGACAGGCTGAATAATTTAAGTTGCAAAATAGTTTTATTACTAAAAACTAAGTTTTTTTTTTTCTTATTACAAAGAATACTTAGTAGTTTTTAGTAATACTAAGAATACTAAGAATACTTAGCATTCTTTGGGGAAGGGAACAGAGAGAGGGAAAACTTTACAAGAAGAAATAAAAATGGACATTTTAAGACACCTGTTAAGCTTTCTGGGAACCTGTCTCTCCCAGGTTACCTCTCCCCACCCCTCCATGCTTCCTGCGCAAGAGAGGCAGGGATGGAAGTTTTAACACAGATCATACTACTCATTACAGTTATCATCCAGCACCATAGGAGAAGAGTTCTTACGGCTCCAAGCTGTGGAAGCTCTTTTCCCAAGAAACAGTAAAACTGCTGGTGGCATGGGATTCTTTTTTTTTACCTTGTGGGAAGAAAGGAAAACAGTCCTCCAAGGCCGACTGTATTATTTCGGTGGTATAAGGCCACTATCTCAAATCTCCTGGCAGAACACATTTTCTTCTAAGCATCCACTTGCTTCAGACATGCAGGGGGGGGCCAAGCCTCTTCCCCCTTTTTGGCTTATGATC